AACAAAGCTGGATACATACATATATAAAGTTGTATATATGTATAAATGATATTACCATAGGTCTATACTACAGGCCCCACAACTAAGCAGAGGAAATAGATGCTTCTGAATATTATCTCATTTCCCAAGATTTAAAGAATGTTTCAGCCCTGTTTGCTTATATAACAGTTTTTGTGTATTTCTGTCAAAGTCACCTCCCTTATTCTCTATCAGCCAAAAGAACAAATTATGTGACAAAAATCTGTTTGGATTTCTGCCCAACTTTGGATTGATTCCATTATAGGAGTCTTGCCTTGTAACTAGAGAACATGTTTTGATATCTGGTTTTAGGACTTGGGCTACCAAAACATGGAACAAGAGAAAGGCTGGACAATGGCCATATTGATCAAAGAAGAACTAGGCCAAAAGGGCACAGAATCTTAATTTTAATTCAACTGTTTTCTTAGCTGTTAAATTTCAGTAAAGAAAACAATCTCTGAGACCATGATGTTGAATATTTATACCACTCAAAAATGTCTATTGATTATTCTTTTTGATATATCAGTAAATTTAGGGGGGGAAATCCTGAATGAAATAATTCTGCCAATTCCTAAGATAATTATCAGCTTAGGTGATTGTAATGTTAGGATGGGACCATCCATACAAGACCATATAAATGCCAACAATATATCAGAATAATTCTTCTTTGTATTACCCTTATAGTCCTCTAGGAACCAGAAAAGTTTATTGCTGTCCACCCTAGTACATAGAGGTAATTTGCAAACTTAGGAGAGCAAATTCCAAAGCTTTGTTTATCCCTTTACTTATCAGAAGAGTACCATTGGAAATCTACAATATTCTATATCTTCTCACTGCTGTTATATGAATCCATACAAAGCTGGAAACTATGCCAGCCCCAAAATGATATTCAGTATATATCTTCCCTTTGGCTGGAGAAAGACACAAATTAATTCCTTTCACAAATGCAACTTTATATACCAACACTCACACACACAAATATACTGCAGGATGATATTACTTCCTTTATTTAAAAAATCCTTTTATTTAGCTGCCTGGTTATCAACAGCTATTAAGTTAAATATGCACCCAAAAATTTGAAATATTGTTACTATTGTTCTTTGTTAAGTTACAGAACAGATATCAAAACTTGACTATTCTGCCATCTACTGATTGATATAAAGTTTATAAGAAACTAGTATTTTACCACTAGGCAAATAAAAGTAATGTTTGTTCTTGAACTAACATAGTTTTCAAGTGTATTTTAGTTATTAATAATGTACTCTTTGTAAAGTAGAACTAGGGTGTTGGAATCAAAATGTTGGACTAGAATGGTAGAGTCATAAATTTCTACATGAAACTTACTGATTGACCCTTGTTCAATTAATCTCACAGGTGGTTATGGAGGGGATAAAATAACAAGGGATCTCTATACAAATCACATTGAGTTTGACTTCCCAGAAGAAATGTAGAATATTGTATAAATGTAATAAGTAACTAAGTCAATCAATGTCTGTGGATTTTACATTTTATTTCTTCAATGTGGACTAGGAGGAAAATACCCTTCATAAAGCATCCTCGAAATTGAGTTCAACTGCTGAAACTACACTGAGATTTCCCTGTAATTTTCTTGATATTACCTGCTTGTCTCCCCTCCAAGTACTAACTATCGTCTATCTGCTTAGTTTTTTTAGATGAGCCAAGATCAGTCATAAGCAGTACAACCATACTAGTTCAACCACATTTTCAATCACTGAGCATTTTAAAGTAAGGCATAAAACCCAAACACTAGTTAAGATGCCTGAAAAAAGGTGGAATACAAATAAATAAAATAAAAATGGCTCTCAGATATAACTGCTTTACTGTAATCAGTTTGCAGTTTAGAGCATGAAAACATATTAATTCTAGTTTGATGTTTGCATTCTTTCCCAGTGAAGTGAGGGGAAGAGTTTACATAAAGCCGGCATGATTGTATTCCACTCAGTATCCTTCTGTCCTGGCCACTTTTTACACGGGCACAATTAAGAGCGTTTTAACAAACTGCATCACTGTTTGGTGTGATGGCAGCAGTGCTTCAGAGAGAGAAATCCATTCAGAGAGTGGTAAGGACAGCCAAGATTATAGGAAGCTTGCTTCCTGTCATTCAGGATACTGCTTATATAAGCACTATATGCTTAGAGCTCAAAGCATTTTTAGAGATCCCCACAGGCCCGCTTCATGGTCTGTTTCTGTTGCTCCCCTTTGGGAGGAGGTTTCAAAGTATTTCTCGCAGGACTACCAGATTCTGTAACAGCTTTCCTACGCCATCCATCTGGTAAACTTGCAAGATTCGTTTTTCTTGCTATATACATCCGAACTAGACTGTGTTGTTTCTCCCTGTCATATACGTGAGTATATGCATAATTTTGAATGTATTTATTTTGTCATGTTTATGGAGTGTATATTGGCAATGGAGATCTTTTGAGAGCTGTATGCAATGACATTTCATTTTAATGTATGCCGATTAGTGTACATTTAAAGTGACCGTAAAGTTAGCTTACATCTAAAGGGGCTTTGGATTCTATATACCTGTCTTTGGTCAGGATAAAACTTGGAAATCTGGAAGGAAAAAAAAGGGCCAATATTGGTGTAGGGGAGAAACCAGCAAAATAAAATTGAAGTTGGAAAATGGGCCCAATCCAGCCAGAGCCAGCAAGTGGGGGGGGGGGGGATGTCCTAAAACACTATGCCCAACACTCTCTAACGGAAAGTCAATTGTCCAGCAGTTTGGAACGTTGCTGATTTCTCCACTCTAAGGCTGCACTTCCTCTTTCCCAGTCATGTGACCAAACATAGAACTATCATTAAGAGACTGGAAACAATTCCAGAATCTCTTCTCTGAATCTTTTCTGTATGTGTTCCAACACCTGCTAGTCAGGCCTTCCTTCACTTTTTTTTTTTTAAAGCCACGATGTAATTCCTCCATGCCCCGCAGCCAAACCAGAGAGATTAAAGTTCTCTGATGGTCCAAATTAGCCTTCCGCTACCTGGGGGTTTCCTGACTGGGGACTTCAACTCCCAGAATTGCTAGCTGGGGAATTCTGGGAGTTGAAGTCCACGTGTCTTAAAGGTGCTGAGATTGAGCAGCAGGAGTCTGAAGCAACCCTGAAGGGTCCCTCTAAAGGACTCTTTAGAAAAGAAAAACGGGAACGCTCAGCGCTTCTTTGCCTCCGCTTCGGAAAAGCTTGCCCGGAAAGCTCTTCTATCGGCTCCTCCGCCCGTCTTCGCCACCAAGAGTCAGACAGCAAGCAACGAGGTGCGCCTGGAACTACAACTCCCACAATGCTTCGCAGGCGGGGAGCGCTACCCGATAAGCGAGAGCGGGAGCTCATTGGTGAAAGAGTCAGGGCAGCCGCAGGCCTATCAGCTCGTCTTTCATTGTGCGGTGGCAGCAACCGACGTACACACATTAAGCCGAGAGCCGCCCAAGGGTGGGCTGTTCGTGCGCCTCTTGCTGCCGGTAGCCCGCCCGCCCGTCCTTGCAGACGGGCTCTTGCGCTCTTCCGCGGAGCAGAGACGCAGCCATGAATCTGGGGTAAGGAAGCGAAGCCCCGCGGCAATGCCACGTTCTTGGGTGACCTCGTCCTTTCGAGGGAGAGCTGGCGGGAGGAGGTGAAATCCTCTGCCCTCCAGCCGGAGCGAGCGCCCGCGAAGCCTCCGAGACCGTCCCTCTTGGAAGGCTGGTGTGGCTTTACCCGGGGGGATTGCAAGAGCTGCTCCTGCCTAGCTCTGCCCGCCTTGGGGGCCCGTCCGTTTCGCGTGGCAAGTGCACTGAGCTCGGTTGATGGTGCGGTGTTTTCTTTTCTTTTTTTTTATCAACCTTGCAAAAACAACGCCGTGCTTAGTGATGTTGAGGCTTGGCTGAGGCTGTGCTAGGTAGGAATGCCGGCTGCCCTAAGTCCACGCCAAGAGCTGGACAGCTTCAGTTGCAGGTTTCTCTCTAGGTTGACTTAGAAGTGCCTTTTTTTCCCAAGAAGCAAACGGACTTTCTGGTTTTTCTTTGAAGACGTTTCGCTTCTCATCTAAGAAGCTTCTTCAGCTCTGACTGGATGAGAAGCGAAATGTCTTCAAAGAAAAACCAGAAAGGCCGGTTGCCTCTTGGGAAAAAAGGCACCTTTGGGGACAACCATGACCTGGATGACTTGAGAATCTCCACAGTCGTTTCTCTAGCTTGCGTTCAAGAGTGTGGACCGGACGTTTTTGATAACCATCAGATATTTGGAAGTAAATCTTACTGAGTGCTGACAAGAGTCCTACAATCTAGAATTCATGAATTTCATTGTTTTGTTATCAGCCTGGTGAATTCAGGTTGTCGTTCTTTTTTATTAGGGAAACAAAATCACTCAAAAGGCAAATCACATTCCAAGGAAAATAATTGCTCTGTTTAACAACAACAATACAGTATTAGTGCCAGGAAATAGGGAAAGCATTTACGCAGAAAAGGGCTGGGTAAAAAAAAATTAGGTTCAGTAGGCTTAGGAAGAGATGTTAGCAGGAATCTCATGGATGTGGAAAAGACGGCAAGTCTGCTGTGAGCAATTGCAGCTACAAATTGCATCACGTTCAACAGACCTTATTGGATGTGGGAGAACTTCCACATGGAGCCTCCTAGCTACCAACTGCCAACGTTTTCTTTTTGAAAATGAAAAAACATTCAGATTTTTCATATGAACAATATTAACAGTTGCAAAATGATATTATCCAAATCACTTGTGCATGAATGAGGCAGGTCATTGTTCTGTAATAATAACACTTGTGTGCAAACATGAAAGAAGAAGAGTTTTGTAGACATCTTCCAAGGAACAGAGAACATACTGTTGTGCAACTTTCAGTTGTTATTAGATTCATCACATTTTGTTTCTTCAACCTTGATAAGTCACTTTCCTCTAATTTGATTACTGGATAAGTACTTTATAGAACTTTTTAGAACCTGGCAGATGACATTTATGATTATTGTTCAAGTATAGTATATGTAAGTTTGTGATTAAAGGCTGTGGCTTCCTTCCTTGCAGCAAGTAATTATTTGGAGCACATAATTATTCGGTTATAGATCGTTTTAGATTTCCCAGCACAATTCAGGTCATGCTTAACTGTGATCCTTTTGTGACTCAACAAATAAGATGTGTAAAATAGACATCCAATCTGTTATTCATAGCCACTATTAGCGGCTCATTTCTGTTTCACCCCTATGTTTCTCTGCATGAGAAAGCTGTTATTTGAAATAGCTATGAGATTCTATAATAATGATTACTTTTTCTTGTGCCATATCCATTATCGGATATTGGCGATCATGTTGGTGATCCTGTGTTTATCAACAACCGCACAAAAAAAATGCTGTTGAGATTTGCCTAAACCAGTCCCTTATATTTTGAAGCCATGATGTTTTTCTTCTGCCTGGACCTCATTTGCCTTCAATCTTTCCTTAGAGCCGTGATGGCGAACCTATGGCACACATGCCACAGGTGGCATACAGAGCCATTTGTGTGGGCATGTGAACCCCAGGCAAACTTACCTCACTCCACATGTGTATGCCTCCCAGCTGATTTTCAGGCTTTTTTCGGCCTGCCAGAGGCTTAAGGGAAGCCTTTGCAGGCCAAAAAATAGTTCCATTTCGTCACTTCCTGTATTTCCAGAAATACCAGAAGTGATGAAACAGGCCCATTTTTCAGCCTGCAGAGGCTTCCCTCAAGCCTCTGGCAGGCCTAAAAAGGCCTCAAATGGGCTGAAAATCAGCTGGGAAGTGCAGTGCAGGCAAGGGGGTGGCGGGGGGGCGCATGCATTGCCTTCTGGGTGCTGCTGCATGAGGGCAGTTTTTGGCACAGTAGCCCAAAAAAGTTAGCCACCACTGCCTTAGAGCATTAAGTATGCCATATTTTTCTGGTTGTTGCATCACATGTCCAAAATATTCTAACTTTTGCTTTGTTATGGTTTTGATGATTTCCCTTGGCTTTCCCAGGCTTATCACCTCATTTCTGATTTTGTCAACCCAACTTATATGTTGAAACAGCTGCCTGTAAATCCACATTTCAAATGCTTCTAGTTTCTTCAAGTGGCTTTCTGTCAGAGACCAACTCTCCACTCCGTAGAGCAGGATAGAAAAGAGGTAGCATCTGACAAGCCTGATTTTAGGCTTATGTCATGACTACAGAAGACCTACAGAAGACTGCATGATGACTGCAACCTTCTTTCTCCTACTCTGCAGATTTACAATTATATGCAGAGGCTTTATTTTGAGAAAGGAAAGATAAGAGGCGGCTATGTTTACACATCATGCTAAGCTAAGAAGTTTTAGCTGCACTTTGTTAAACAAACAAAGCTATGTTTTCATACAGTTTGTAAAGCCAGCTACAAATCCCACAATGAACCATGGAGACCAAACGTGCTATGTAGAGAGCTTAATTGTTGCTGCTTTTCGAAAACCAATCAATCTAAAGTTCTAAAATCAGCTGAGAATAAAAGTATTTCAGAACTTATGCTTTATTTCCTTTCTCCACCCCTATGTGAAAGAATTTTTTAAAAGGCCCTGTGATAGGAATAGCACTTAGCACTTTGACTTATTTGCTGCTTCACAGTGCTTTACAGCCCCTCTCTAAGCGGTTTACAGCCCTCATTTTACCAACTTCAGAAGGATGGAAGGCTGAGTCAACCTTGAGCCTGATGAGATTTGAATTGGAGGCAGCCAGCAGCCAGCAGAAATAATAACTCTAACCACTGCGGCTCAATAATACAGTTCAGAAGTAGACATATACGATCTAGGTGATGATTTTCCTAGTTCTCTTCCAATGAGGACTAGAAACATGTAAGCTTGAGGATCAAAGGTTTATGCCTTTTTCACTCACTTCAGTGAAATGGCTTTTGGAAAGCTTGGTTCTTTTTTAGCTTCCGTGAACTTTTAAGACTAAATTCGCTGGCGGCATAATCCCCACAGTTCCGAATCTGTTTTCTGATAGTAGAATGGTTACAACAACCCTAAGTGGATAATAAGGGTTCATTATTGGTTATTTTAGTATCCTTTGTTGACATTTTAGTTATAGTAATGTATATATTGTAATATGCATAGTAAGATTAGATCTGGTGTTAAAGGTATGCAATCACCAAAAGCAGATGTTTTTATCTAATTTTCAAAGATGCTTCCCGCTTCATTGCCAGATATTCCTTCTAATCAAATTACACATGCTAAAGCTGGATCTGTACTATTTCATGAAGATTGCTGTCTTATTTCAGATGTTATATACATTTTCAGGGATATAGAAAATCTTGTGCCTTCCCCTGTTACAATGATCTCTGTATGTATGTGCATGCCCTTTACCATATACTGTACATGCTCAAAGTCTTTCTCCCAGTAAGGCAACAACAATAGATTTCAAAAACAAGTTAAAGCTTGCAAATAGGAGATGCAAGAAGTGTTAATGAATCAGTGTTGTGATCTGCATTAAAGAAAAAAAACATTTCTTTGTAATTATCTGAGAGTAGTAAACAGTTCATTTTCCTCTCTTAGAGATTGAGTTTAACATGCCTTTATTTATGTTGTGCCAAAAATGACTTTTTACTCCAGAGACTTTTTCAAAAGGGGGAAATCTTATTCTTGGTAGTTTGATTTAAATATAGCGATAGCTTTTTTCCCTACTAAACTGGATAATTTCCATTCTGTATGGCAGAGGTCTCCAAACTTGGCAACTTTAAGACTTGTGGACTTTAACTTCCAGAACTCTCCAGTCAGCTATGCTGAAGTCCACAAGTCTTAAAGTTGCCAAGTTTTGGGAGCCTTGCTGTATGGAATAGAATAGATTCTGTATAATCTATTGTTTTTTTAGGAATTTAAGGAAAGAGAGGTAACTTTAAAAGTGGAAAGGAGAAAAGAAAACTAGAATATGTCAAAAGGTATTTAGTAATCACTTTTCTTTAAGATCTTTATTATTTTGCACAAACAATGAAATAGACTATTGATTTATTTAAAAATTATGCTCCACACCATATTTTTTCCAAGCTGATTTCAATTATAGAAATAGTTCACCTTTTTTTCTTTTTTGATTACAGAGATGGTTTAAAGCTTGAAACAGAAATACTGGATGGAAAACCTAGACTGATAGTGGCTCCTTGTGGTATGATTTCTTATATAAAAAATTAGTCCTTATTAGTGATTACCAGCAGTTTTTTGTTTGCTTTTTTAAAAAGAGTTTAATTTTTAAACACCTTAATCAGATATATTCTAATTGTTGTGGATTATTTTTTCTCTGATTACTTCAGAAAACAGTAATTTTCCTAACTTAGTTCCCCTGCAGATATGTGGACTTCACTTCCCCAAATTGTTATCAGTCTCCACACTGATACAGAAGAGAATATTTATACCGTAGCTCAAGGTTGAACTGTGGGATCCTTGGTGCTCTCTGGATTTAGTGGTTTTCTTGCAGATGTTTCATTATCAGTTGTTACCTACTTTGGTAATGAAACATTTGCAAGAAAACCAACAAGCTTGGAGGGCACCAAGGATCCCACAACACCATATATGCTCATTGTGTAGGTACCAGAAGTGGATTTTTAAAAATTTTATCTATTTGGAATGTGTATGTTGGGGATATGGGTATGGAAAAAAGAATGTGTGTATGTCTGTACATATGTATGTTCTTATGAAAGAGTTGATATGTCTTAAGGGTTCAATTGTGGTTTGATTTTGACCTAAATTATATATAGGCCTGTACTATACTTATATATACTTGTACTAGAAATGTCTCTGAAAAGCTAGGACTGTGATGGCAAACCTGTGAGACACAGAGCCATTTGTGCAGGCAAACGAGCCAAACCTGCCTGCACTGCTCATGCGTGCATCTCCCTGCTGATTTTTGGCCTGTTTGAGGCTGTTTTCAGCCTCCCAGAGGCTTGAGGGAAGTCTCTGTAGCCTCGGGAGGCCAAAAAACAGACCTTCCAGAAATACTGGAAGTGCCAAAACGGGCCCGTTTTCAGCCTCCAGAGGCTTTCCTTGAGACTCCGGGAGGGTGAAAATGGGCTCCCCCGGGCTCTGGAGGCCCCTGGGAGGCTGAAAACAGGCACTTCCAATATTTCCGGAAAGCCCATTTTTTGGCCTCCCGAGGCTGCAGAGGCTTCCCTCGAGCCTCCGGGACAGTGAAAACGGCATCAAATCAGCTGGGAGGCGGGCAAATGTGCAGTGCAGGTAAGGGGGCGGGGGTGTTGCATGCGCAGGGGGTGGGGCGGGGGGCATTGCATTGTGAATACTGGCACGCACACACATGCTTCTGGCACACCACAACAAAATGGTTCATTAACACTAGGCTAGGAATATTCCCTTTTCAAATAAACTATAAGAACTGTCTGATTTACAGAAATTTAGGAACAGAAGTTTCATATTTCCCCTTATGTATGATTGAGATTAAATGTAAATTCTTTTATTTAAAAAAAGGGGGGCTGCCTACTCCCTTTCTCTTTAATTGTCCATAAACATGAGTATGTTTCCACTTTAGTGAATGGTCTTTAAGAATAAATAACCTGTAATAGAGAAATGGGGTATTTGATATATATAGCATACAAGTAGTCCTCGATTTATGACTGTAATGAATACTGCCCATTACAGCTATAAATCATGATGGTTATAAAGTGCATCATCACATGACCAGCCCAATTTTATTTCCTTTTTTGTGGCGGTCATTAAGCAAATGATTATGGTTATTAAGTGAATCTGCTGTTGTTCAGTGAACACTGTGTCAGTAAGAGAACCCATTGTTCACTATGGAGCTTTTTTTTGCCAATAACTTGAAGCAAACATCAGTTTTCAGAAAAAATATCATAATTGGGGTCATGTGACTGAAACATTGTAGATGGCTGTAAATGCTATCATGAGACCACACGCATCATCAGGAATATGGAACCAGGTTATAAGTACCCTTTGGGGAGGGCTCTGTCAGAACCTCTAGCATTTACAAGTCAAGAATTACCTATATCTGTGGATGGAAGAATATGCTTCATATTCACTTAAATTTCTGGCCTTCTTAGTGTCACTGGGATGTTGCCAGCCAAGTTGAGAATGTAAGTTAAAATTATTCTGGACCTTATTCTAATGCATTTTTTTCCCCCTTTCATAGTAAGTCAGTCGAAACCAGGCATAAGGGTAAGTCTTAAATCCTGCTTATAATGTTGAAGATGTGAAATCATTCCGTTTAATTGCTTTGATTGCAAAATAAATTGTAGCTACATGTATTGAAATTTTATTTTACTAAGAATGTTTGTAATTTAAGAAAAACTGGTCAACAACATGTTAAATCTCACTTTTTCCCTTAAAGCCCTAAAAGATTTGAATCCATGCTTTCTTAATATCTATGTTTTCTTATAAAAATGCAACTGGCTACAATCTTCCTTAATTCTTTGGATTTCCCAGGCAACAGGTAGGATTTAGTTATCGCTTCAGGAACCTTCTATCCAATTATTTCTTTTTCAACTCCTTTCATTTAAAGGTGTAAAGGGTTTTCTTTAATATAAAAATTGATTTACGATGTTACTCTCTGAAGAACAAGAATATAAATACATTACATATATTTTGGTTTTGGTTTTGAAATGTATATTAAACATCTATGGAGGATTGGGTAAGATAAGCAAAAAGCTTTCTAGCGTGTTTTTTATTTACACATATACTATACACATTGTCTGTCTCTCTGTCTACTATCTATCTCTTATCTCATTATATACTGGCACTTCAAAAAGTGTAGGTTTTGTTTGTAGAGGTTGAGGTAGGAAAGTATTATTTCCATTAAATTTATTTTGGAAACAGCCTGTTTCTTTAGTTGGGAAACTATAACATTTGTACAGCTTAAAACAAATTCCTGGAAGAAATAATAATAATAGTAGTACTGTTAATAAAATAATAGTAGTACTGTTAATAAAATAATAGTAGTACTGTTAATAAAATAATAGTACTGTTTCTGTCCCATAGATATGTAATAAAAACAAGATTTTAAAATACACAACGAGATCAAAACCAAATGGGCATATTCTGAAATCAGTGCAAACATCCTGTGAGAAGAATGAATGTTTAACAAAACAGAAAACCGGATCAAGACTTTCAGTGACCAAAGGTAGTAAACATCCTGAAACTGTGATGTTTACCAAGGATTTATCGAAGGGACCTTGTAATAAAGATGATGCTTTTATAATCCAAAAAGACAGTACAACTTCAAAGCCAGATAATGTCAGAAATTCAATTAAGAAACCTTTGGCATACAACAAGAAATTTAAAAAGCATTCTCTTTCTGTTGAGGATCGAAGGGACAATTTGGTATGTTTAACACAAGAGCAGCTGGAACAGATTTTAATGGCAGTAAAAGAAGGAACCCAAGGAGCCACTCAGGTTCTGGCAGAAAAGAAAGGAGATGCAAGTAAGTTTTTATTTCCCTTTACCCAATTTTATGGGCATTCTTCCTGGGGAGAAGAAAAGTGAGAAAGCACATTCATGCCTTCATCTTAGCATTGCTAATCAAGAGAAACAAAGCAAAACAAACAAAAAAAGAGCTCTTTATAAATGTGCATGGTAAATTATTTTCTTTCAAATACCTTACAGTGACACATGCTGAATTAATTAACTACTATAGGTTCATTAAGTTCTATTAAGCTGCAAGAGTAAAAATACTAACTTCAATTGCTAACATGTATTCACCAATGATACGGCTTTTACATAGCTATAATTAATTTCTCCTTGTTCTTTTATTTATCATGAGGTAGGCACTATTTCTCTGCAAAGGCCCATTTTAACAAATAGTTACGTTGCACGACTGCAGTACTAAACACTTTTGCCTTGTTTTCTATTTTGATGAATTTTAGATTATGTGGGTTTACAAAATTAAAGGTCTGATATGCCGATTTTAAGGTCTAAATCAGGTTTTTGCGCACGTGTGCGCTACAAATATGGGATTCTGTTAACCTGGTGAGCTGCCTGGAGTGTTTTTAAGATCAGCTGAGGCATGGTGATAACGCAAATCAGCTGAGCTGTGCGCATGTGCGGCACAAATACAGAGCTCTGTCAAGACTGGATAGCTGCCTGAAGTGTTTTTAAACTCAGCTGAGGCGTGGCAGTCCACTCTGCCATGCGAATCAGCTGAGCCAAAAAACAAGGAAATATAGTCATGACAAGGGCGGGTGGGCGGGCCCAGCCAGAGGTAGTATTTGCCGGTTCTCCAAACCAGTCAAAATTTTCGCTACCAGTACATCCGAACTGGTCCAAACCGGCTGAATACCACCTCTGGTCTAAATCCTTAAATCACACTGTCTGAAATTGACATTTTGTTAAGTTTGTTGTTAAATTTTAGCAATAGCCATAGGCAGCGCACAAATATGTCATGGCAGAAGGGAGCGTGCAGTTGTCCTTCTCTGATTTAATAAGGTTTCAATTACCAAACAGCTGTGACATTTTACTCTATGGTGTTTAGATTGTTTTGATATATGGCACTTTGTAAACTGATTCA